CCCCGGCCCCGGGGGGGGGAGCCGCTGCCACCCTCACCGTCGTAGTCGGGGAAGCAGATGCTGAGGTGGGCCTTCTTGATCTTCTCCAGGAAGACGTCTTTCTTGTTGAGGAAGAGGACGATGGAGGTGGTGGCGAAGTAGCGGTGGTTACAGATGCTGTTGAAGAGGTGCAGGCTCTCGTGCATGCGGTTCTGTGGAGGGACACAGCCCCGTCAGCCCCACGGTGACCCCCACGTCGTGATGGGGATGAAGGGAGGGGGGTTGTGTGCCCCGGGAGCCTTCCTCACCACTTCGTCGTCCTCCACCAGGACCATGTCATAGGCGCTGAGGGCCGCGATGAAGATAATGCAGGTCACCCCCTCGAAGCAGTGAATCCACTTCTTCCGCTCCGAGCGCTGGCCACCCACGTCGAACATCCTGGGCAGGGTGGGGGGTACATCAGCACCCCCCCACCCGCTGCCCACCCCCCTGGCACCAGCCCTCACCAGGGGCTCAGCCCCCACCTGAAGTTGAGGTCTTTGAAGGAGAACTGGGTCTCTATGATACCGGTGGTCTTGACACGGGAGCGCAGCACGTCCTGCTCCGTGGGGACGTAGCCAGGGGTCACCAGGCGCTCCAGGTCTGACAGGTAGCTGGCCGGGCACACGGCAGGCTTGAGACACGGGTTGGCAGCCCCAGACCCCCCCATTGGATGCCCGTGTCCTTCCAGAGCCGCCCGATGATGTCTGACATCTCCTTGGGCATGGTGCCCTCCTCAATGGTGTCCGAGAGGTGCAGCAGCTTGCGGGCATCGTCCTACGAGGGAGAGGGGCTCAGCAGGGCCGGGGGGCTGGAGGGAACCCCCTCCTGCCTGGTGTGGGGTGCCCCTCACCTGTCGAGCTGAGTCCCCGTACTGGATGTTGAGGGTGGTCATGGCCCGCACGATGGCCAGCATGGACTGGAGCGTGTTGCTGTAGATGATTGCGATGAACTCCAGGCATTCTTCCAGTGAGTAACCATCCTGGTGGATGATCCTGGCCGGGGAGGGGGGCACGGGGCTGAGCTGGGCACCATGGGGTGGGGAGGCACCCGTGGGTGCAGCATGGGGCTGAGATGCGGGGTGAGGGCACCCATGACTGTGGTGTTGGGCTGAGCTGGGCATTGTGGGGTGGGGGCACACATGGGTGCAACATGGAGCTGAGCTGGGCGCCGTGGGGCTGAGCCAGGCACTAAGGGATGGCTGCACGCCATGGCTGTGGTGTGGGGCAGAGCCACACATGGTGGGACGGGGCACCCTGTGGCTGCAGCGTGGGGTAGCCATGTGGCACAGTAGGGCATGGCCAGGCGTGACCCTGCCACTTACTTCATCTGCTTGACGATGGTGCTCTTCCCCGACTCCCCTGCTCCTGCGGGGACAAAGCACAGGTCACGGCTGTGCCTGCACTGTGGGTACCCCCGGCTGTGCCCCGCGCTGGCCCCTTGGGACCCCTTGCACATCCAGGGGACACTGGTGGCTGTGGCAGGTCTGCGGCACAGGGCAGGGGGATTATAGCCTGGTGCCAGCGGGCATTAAGGTTGGGCTGAGCCACTGTGGCTAATGGGATCTGCGGCAGCTCAGCCGGGGACATGCTCGGGGACCCAGGGGACGGGTAGGGGACACGGTAGCATCGCAACCCTGCCACCCACCACCCGATGCCCCAAGCCTGTGGCAGCGCAGGAGGACATGCCCTGGGCTGGGATGGGAGGACAGCAATGGCACCCATGGTCCCATGTCCAGAGCATCCCAGTCCTCGGGCACCATTGGGGCAGCTGGGAGGGACTGGGATGGAAGTGCAGTGCCTGGGGGGCCGCAGGGACAGACCCCAGGGCTGGGCACAGGGGTGGTGGTGTGGGCTGCACAGGGGTGCCTGAGGGTGCCTGGGAGGATGGGGTGGCAGGGGGCTGCCAGGGTGGGGGCTCTTAGGTGGTATTGGTGAAGGCTCTTGAGATGGGTTGGTTGGGTTTGGGCAGGGCCTGGAAACCGGGGGCTCTTAGGGTGGGCTGTTGAGATGGGTTGTTGGGTTAGGGGTGCCTAGCAGGGGGTGGGGGACTGTTGGGTAAGCTGTTGAGATTAGCTGGTTTGGGGGAGCCTGGGAATGGGGGCTATCAGGCTGGGCTGGTTGGGTTTAGGGGTGCTTAGGAGCAGGGGGCTGTTGGGCTGGGCTGGTTGGGTTTAGGGGAGATCAGGGACACTTTGGGTGGGTGGGTTGGTTGGTTTTAGGGGTGCCTGGGAGTGGGAGGCTGGTGGTGGGCTGATTGGGTTTAGGGGTGCTGGGGGCATCAGAAAAACATTGGGAGGGCTGTTGAGGTGGGCAGGTTGGGTTTAGGGCTGCCTGGGAATGGGTGTGCTGTTAGGGTGGGCTGGTTGGTTTTAGGGGTGCTGGGGGAGTCAGAGAAACATTGGGTGGGCTGTTGGGGTGGACTGGTTGGGTTTGGGGGTGCATCTGGGGGCCAGAGGACCATTGGGTGGGCTGGTTGGGTTTGGGGGGGCCTGTTGGGGTGAGAGGCACAAAGGATAGGTATTTCCCCAGGGTGTTTTCCCCCCCATACCCAGCAGCAGCAGCTTGACGGTCCTGGCATCCTTCTCAGCGTCCTCCTTGAGCTTCTTCTCCAGCTCGCGAGAGTGCTTCTCTTCGGCGCTGGCCCCGGCACCCATCCTCGGCCCCGCGGCCCTGCGGCTCACCCGCTCCTTGGAGGTCAGCACCAGGATGGGCAATGAGCTCCAGCCCCCCGCCGCCTCCAGCGCTTGCCTCCCTGCGCCCGCTGCGCCTGCTGCTGACTGCCCCGCTGCTGCCGCCGCCGCCGCCCACCCAATGTGGGCCAAGGACGGGGCCAAGGTCCCGGGGGGCCACCCGGCGGGGTGCTGCGCTCAGCACCCGTGGCTTAAGCCTGGCCTGCCCCCCGCCCTCCCCAGATAAACCCCCTTAAATCTGCAGCAGGCTGAGCTCAGCAATCCTGCGGTTCCTGGCGTCAGCGCTTCTGCTGGGGGGGGGCCAAGACTGGCCAGCCCCCCACTTTGCCCCTGCCCTGGGGCTGGGGACAGTGACCTGGCCACCCCCGGGGACGTGGGACCCCCACCCAGCTCCGGCTCTGCTGTGGACCCCGGGGGGGGCTGGAGCTGGGGGGATCTGCTGGGGTCTGGCAAGGGAGGGGACAGTGGGTGGAAATGTCCCCATTGTCCCCAGGTCATGCTGGTCATCCCCCCCTGCTCTGGACCAGTGCCCACAGCCCCTCCAGTAAGCCATCCCAGTATCCCCAGGTCCCTATGCTCAGCATCCCCAGGGGCACCCCCTAGTGATTGAAAGCCAGCCCCAGTCACTCCACCCTGTGTCCCCAGGACCCTCCACCAGTGTCCCCAGGACCCTCCACCAATGTCCCCAGGCCCCCCCGGGTGCACTCCTTAGTGTTCCCAGCCATCCGCCAGTACACTCCCAGTGTCACCAGGCCAGCCCAGTATCACCCCCCCGCGGGGCGTCCCCAGGCCCCTCCAGCAACACCTGTACAATGTCCTCAGGGACACCCAAGTACCCTCCCCAGGGTCTCCAAGCCCCTCCCCAGTAACACTCCCCAGTATGCCAAGGAGAAATCCTAGTATCCCCCAGTGTCCCCAAGCAATCCCAGTAACCCCCAGTATCTTCAAGACACACCCTCCCCCCCAAAAAAGCCCTGCCCAACATCCAGACACACCCCAGTGCCACTCCTGTGCTCCCATGCCAACAGCAGTGACCTCCCCCCCCAATGTTCCCAGGCCATCGGCGCCCCTCCCCAGTGTCCTTAGGCCACCAGTCCCCCTCCCGTGACCCCAGTGCCCCCATTGCCATCTTGGCCACCCCAGTAAGACTTATTGTCCCCAGGGACATGCCAGTAACCCCTCTGTGTCGCCACGCTCCCGTCCCTAGTGTCCCCAGGCCCTGCCAGGACTCCCCCAGGTGTCCCCAGCAGAGCCCAGTGCCCCCACGTCCCCAGCACCCCCGCTGTCCCCAGTGCCCCCCGTCCCCAGTGCCCCCCGCAACGCCGGGCTCCTGCAGCGCCGCGCTCGGCCGCCAGAGGGCGGAAGGAGCCAGCACAGCTCCCAGTCCAGCTGAGCGCCCCCAGTACAGCCCTGCACCTCCCCCAGTGTGCCCAGTACTGCCCCCAGTATAGCCCAGAACCTCCCAGCACCGACCCCAGTGCCTCTCGGGACTGCCCAGAGGAGCCCACTACCACCTCCATTGCCCCAGTACCGACCAGAGTGCCCCCAGTACAGGCCAGTATCGCCCACTATGGAGCCCATTACCACTCCCCCACTCCGTGCTCCCAGTACCACCAAGTACTGGCTCCCAGTACCAAATCCTAATTCCCCAGTACTTCTCCTGGTACTTCCAGTCCTGACTCTGAGCGCCCCTAGTGCTCCCAGTACCACCCAGTACCAACCTCCAGTGTCCCCAGTACCACCCCCAGTATAGCCCAGAACCTCCCAGTACTGACCCCAGTGCCTCCCAGGACTGCCCAGAGGAGCCCAGTATCACCCTCATTACCCCCTGTACCGACCAAAGTGCTCCCAGTACAGGCCAGTATTGCCCACTACCACCTCCAGTGCCCCTGTAGAGTCCCCCCCCGCCCCATGCCCCCCGTACCACCAAGTACCAGCTCCCAGTACCAAATCCTAGTGCTCCAGTACTTCCCCCACTGCCCCCAATACTGACTCTGAGTGCTCCCAGTGCCTCCAGTAACACCCAGTACTGGCTGCTAGCCCAGCCCAGCGTACCCCTAACACCCAGGCAACATCACCCAGTACTGCCATCTCCCTGTGCCCTGTCCTGTCCAGTGCCCACCCCCCAGCACCCAGTGCCCCCAGCTTCCCAGTGTTCCCAGTTCTCCCTTAGGGCCCCCGCGCTCCCTGCCTGCCCCAGCCCTCCACACCGCTGGCAGGGCTCAGGGGCAGAGCTAAGGGGATTACGTGATGGGGCCAGGCGGCAGCGCAGCCCCCAGCTGCCCACTCCCCATCCGCGACAGAGCACACGCAGGCGCCCGCATCCATCCCAAAGCCAGTGTTTATTTGGGGGTGCCCTCAGCTGTGGTGGGGGGCACTTGCTTGGCCCTGGCTGTCCCTGTGCTCCCCATGTACAACTATTTACAACCCCCCACCCCCATCAGAGTGCCCCGAGGGGGCGGCTGATGGGCTCGGTGCCCCAAATGCCCATGGGTGCTGGTGCCAGTGAGTGCCAGTGGCTGCCCAAGGTTTTACCCCAGCATGGCCCTTTCTCCTTCCCTTTCCCACCCAAAGACCCCAGCTGAGCCCCCACCGTGGCCTGGACACCTGGGTCCTGTCTCAAGGTTCCTGTCTCCCCCCAGCCAAGACCCCGGGATGGGGATGGGGCTGCGTACCCTCACCCCACAGCCCCCTTCTAGGCTTGCCTGGAGCTTCCCTGCAGAAAGCACTTGCTCCTCAATAACCAGGTGGGGAAACTGAGGACAAAGCTGCAAGGGCCGTGCTCAGGTTGTGGGGGGCAGACCTTGTCCAGTGTCACCTCTCCCCCTGCCTCATCCCCCTGGCTAGAGTTTGTCCCCCTCCCCAGGGCATCAGCCCCATCCCGCACCAGGACGCGGCACCTCTGGCCCCCGGTGTGGTGCCGTGCCCCAGCTGGGGGGGAGACAGTGGCTGCGATGCCCGGCGGTCCCCGCCTGCCAGGATCCTGGGGTCCTGGGATCGGGGGCGAAGACAGCGATGCTGGCTGCGGCCACCCTGGGGGTCCCCACTCCTCCCTGGGGCCAGGAGGTGGGGGTCACATCGCCTCAGTGACTATGTACAATCTACAAATAAATATTGTCTCCCATGGGAGCGGGGAGCGCATGTGTCTGCGTGCGTGTGTGCGTGGATGTATATATATATATATTTATTTATAGATACTTTTAATATTAAAAGGGGGGAAAAATAGACCACTGTGCTAGCAAAGTCCCTGATGATGGTTTCATGTATGCCCGTAGGTCTCTGGCTGGTGATTCCGGCGGTTTCGAGGCTTCTTCTGGTCCTGCTGCTCCTTGGCTTTGAGGCCAGCCAGCGGCTGGGGGGGGGGGGGGGGCCGGGGGCGCCCCGGCGGCCGCGGGGAGCGGGTGACAGCGGGAGTCCCATTTCGGGCTGGGTGAGGAGCTGCAGCAGGTCCTGGTAGCGGGGAGTGGGAGCACCTGGCAGGCCGGGGGGGGTCTCTGCCTGGACCAGCACGGCGTGGACGGCGCGGCCGCTGAGGACGCGGAGCTGCACCTTGGTCACCGTGTGCTTGAAGTTGTTCTCGGTGGCGGTGCAGGAGTAGAGGCCGCTGTCGGTGAGCTGGATTCGGGCTGGGTGAGGAGCTGCAGCAGGTCCTGGTAGCGGGGAGTGGGAGCACCTGGCAGGCCGGGGGGGGTCTCTGCCTGGACCAGCACGGCGTGGACGGCGCGGCCGCTGAGGACGCGGAGCTGCACCTTGGTCACCGTGTGCTTGAAGTTGTTCTCGGTGGCGGTGCAGGAGTAGAGGCCGCTGTCGGTGAGCTGGAGGGCGCGCAGCAGCAAGCCCTGCTCCGTCCGCAGCACCCGGCCCTCCACCCGCAGCTGGGGGGGAGAGGCGGCACAGCTCAGCTGGCTGGCACCTGGCACCCCTGGCACCCCCCGGCACCCCTGGTGCAGCACCCTGCCCTACCTCTTTCCGCCGGTCACTGTTGTCCTTCTGCAGCAGCCACTTGATGCTGGCCTGGGGTGAGCGGGGCTGGCACTCCAGGAAGGCGGTGCTGCCCTCCACCCCGTACTGCACAGCCTCCACTGCGTTCTTGTTAGCTGCAGGGGTGGGCCACAGGCAGCCGGGTCACACACGCACCTCTGTGCTCCCTGCCCCGCTGCCCTCCTGCCCAGTCCACCTGCTCTCCAAAGGAATGCTCCCGTCCACCTCCAGCCATGGGTCTGCCTGCTCCCCAGCCACCCAGCAAGTGTGCTCCTCCTCTGTTGTAGCCATGCTTCCACAAGGGTGTCTGTCCACCCACCCATCCATCCATCCATCCATCCATCCATCCATCCACCCTTGTTCATCTTCCTCTGAAGTATCCATCCATTCATTCATCTACACAACCATCAATTTGTGGTCATCCTTCTCCCACCATATCCATCCATCCCTCTATCTACCCATCCGAATCTGCTCATTATCCTCCCCAACATATCTATCTATCCATCCGTGTTCCATCCGCAATGTATCCGTTCATCTACCCATGTTCATCCTACTCCCCAATGTATCCATCCTCCCATCCATCCATCCACCCACCCACCCACCCATGTTCATCCTCCTCTCCAATGTATCCGTTCATCCTCCTCTCCAATGTATCCATTCGTCCATCCATCCATCCATCCATCCATCCATCCATCCAACCTACCCATCCACCCACCTACCAAGCCATCCATCTGTGCTCATCCTCAATTTATCCATCCATCCATCCATGTTCATCGTCTTGTCTGAGGTATCCATTCTTCCATCAATTCATCCATTCTTCCATCCATCCATCCATCCACTGACCCACCCATCCATGCTCATCTTCCTCCCCAGTCCATCCATCCATCCATCCATCCATCCATCCATCCATGCTCAGTCTCTTCCCACGTATCCCCACACACAACCATCAACCCACCAAGGCATCCATCCACCCATGTCCCCCT